TATTTGTTGCTTTCTGAGGGCCAAGATGTTATATAAAGGATCTTTAGGAAGTTCATGAGAAACATATTTTGAAAAAAACTGTATGGATCTCAAAAAATTTTGCACCAAAACAAACTCATACTTCAATTCCATTTTCCACAGACTCACCACTGTGGCATACATCATTGCTGTAATTAAGTAACTGAGAAATTACTTCTTTAATTGAGCTCTCTGAGGTCAGAGATGTACCTCTGTGTTCATCCCAGTATTCAGTGACTAGTGCCATGCTGAGCACCCAGGAGGAGTTTGCCAGGTGGATGATGCATGAATGAAAGTTGTATGCCAGGCAGGGGGCTGCGCCTGCTGGGTTCAGTGTGTTCCTATGACAGCATGGGCTGGCCAGAGAGAAGTGGCTCAGTGTTTGCCGAGTGAAGGAATGAGCCCTGCTTCATCGTGGAGGGTGGGAGGGCTGGGCTTTGGGAGGATCGGGACTTACTGCAGCTCCTTGACCCTTCTGCTCTCTCCTTGCAGGCAGAGTGTCTCTGGCTCAGTTCGCCCTGGCCTTTGTGACAGACACGTGTGTGGCGGGTGCGCTGTTGTGCGGGGCTGGACTGCTCTTCCATGGAATGCTGCTGCTGCGGGGCCAGACCACGTGGGAGTGGGCTCGAGGTCAGCGCTCCTATGACCTGGGTCCCTACCACAACCTGCAGGAAGCACTGGGTCCCCGCTGGGCCCTTGTATGGTTCTGGCCATTCTTGGCCTCCCCATTGCCTGGGGATGGAATCACCTTCCAGACTGCAGCTGATGTGAGATTCATAGCTTCCTGACTCCAGGAAGAGTCAGAACGGGACTGGGAGGAAGGGAGTGGGAGCAGGGGTTGATGACTTGTTTCTGGCCTTACCCTAGCCTCTGGAGGGAAGTCAGGTGGATTTTTGATGCCTGCAGTAAGCAACCCCAGCCCCTACCTTGGCTTTGCTCCAGCTTGGACTCCTACATATCCAGGGTTGGGCTCTGCAACTCTGCCACTTTTGGCAGAGTACAGAAGAGGGTCTGGCAAGGGGTTGCCTGGCCAGCCCAGCTGCGTCTTTGCCAGGTTAATAACATGGTTCTTGTCCTCCCTCTGCCTTTGCCAGAATTCTGGTCCCTCACTTCGTTGCTGTTTCTGGTTCGTTAGGCCAAGTACCACAGAATGGCTGAGCATCTCACGGGCCAGGCTGGGGCTCTGTGGGAGTTGGCAGGCTGGGGATGGGGGGACCCCTAGCCCAGCCAAGGCTGAAGTGTAGTGACCAAAGCTATGAGAATCCAAACAATCTTTCCCAGGTTCAGCACTTTCAAGTTAGAAGCATTTCTGCAGCTTCAGTTTCATGGAGCCTTGCTTAGCTAACTTGGTACCTTGGCATCAATTACGTACCTTATTTCATGGGTGAAAAACTGAATTTCTGAGAGTTGATGTGATAAGATTAAAGGGTTAGTAAACAGAAGTTTTCACCTAGGTTTCCGTGTTTTTGCTCTCACCCCTGCACAACTGAAGGGACTGAGCAAGAAAAGACTCAAGGCAAAGAAATCCACTGGGGATGTTCAAGCATCTGAGAGGGATAAGTCTCAGGAACTCACTGTTAAACATTTCAGTGTAAATCATGTACAGAGAGACTGCCCATTCAATGTGGCAGAATTTCTCTCTGGTTCCTCTTAAAATCTCACTAAACGTTTAATATTCAAGGAAAAAAAAAATAGGAAGAGACACAGCAGTAGACCAAAGGGCCTGACAACATTTTTGAAGAAGGAAAATGGATGGAGGCTTGTTACTCTCTTAGCAGAGAATTAGAAGTTGAAGTTTCTAGTTTCCAAAGAGAGTGGCCAAGAGGCAGGCTCAGCCTCCTCTGAACCCTGTGAGGCTCAGGAGTTCCACTGGGGATGTTCAAGCATCTGAGAGGGATAAGTCTCAGGAACTCACTGTTAAACATTTCAGTGTAAATCATGTACAGAGAGACTGCCCATTCAATGTGGCAGAATTTCTCTCTGGTTCCTCTTAAAATCTCACTAAACGTTTAATATTCAAGGAAAAAAAAAATAGGAAGAGACACAGCAGTAGACCAAAGGGCCTGACAACATTTTTGAAGAAGGAAAATGGATGGAGGCTTGTTACTCTCTTAGCAGAGAATTAGAAGTTGAAGTTTCTAGTTTCCAAAGAGAGTGGCCAAGAGGCAGGCTCAACCGCCTCTGAACCCTGTGAGGCTCAGGAGTTCCACAGGTAGCCTGGAAGGTGAGGTGAGGTTTCAGGCCAGCAGGGGGAGGGGGGACTGATAGAAAATCTCTATGAGGATCATCCAGGTGTGTTCCTTGCCCTGGCCTCTCCTACAACTTGTAGTCCAGCAGCCCCCTTTCTGGGGTGGGGTGGGGGTGTTATTTGAAGAAGAAACTGAACTAGAGAAATGCAATGAAATATGGGGTTAAGTGAAAGTGTGTAGTACATGGGGGGGGGGCCCTCCTGTGAAATGCCAGAATTGCCCTCCCCACCCACCACCCCACCAGGAGCCCACCCTTCTGACAGGTGCTGCCTTTGCCCACAGAAGTTGAAGCTGCTTGGTCAGTTTTTGCTTTTTCCAAATGGTATGCATGATTACTATTTTTTAACGATGTTAGGAATTTTGTGTGCCTGGTGTTGTACATAAGCATTAGCAGATTCATCCAGTTTCACCCTTCATCTTCCACAATACCTTAAAATGTTTTTTATTAAACAGTGAGGTGATGCAAGAAAATATTTATGAAATAACACCATTTGAGAAAGCTACCACTTCCACGATGTCCCTGCTGTGTCCCTCCCTGGTGGGGAAGTCACTGACCCCGTCATGCCATTCTCATGCTTTGCTTTATAAGTTTTATTATGTGTGTTTGTATTGGTTTTGCATGCTTTTAAATGTTATATAAGTGGAATCATATTGAGTTTATTCTCCTATGACTTGCCTGTTCACTCAATTATGTTTGTGAGATGTACCTGAATTATTGCATGTAACTGTGGGGCATTCCTTGGTTCTGCTGTATTGTGACCCATTGAATTACCACAATTAATTATTCTATTTTGTTCCTCTGGTCACTGTACTTTGGGAATCATCCATGAATCTCTACTTGCCTTTGATGCTGTTCTTCCATATTCCATATTTGCATTTTAGAATCAGCCTCCCGGTTTCACCAATAAAAATGCCTTAGAGATTATGAATGGAATCCAACTGAATCTGTAGATCACTAGGGGAAACTGGCATGTCATTAAAATAGAATTTTCCAGTTTGTGAATATAGTATATCCCTTCGTTTACTGTTTTGAATAAAGTTATATACTTTTTCTCATAAAGGTCATGCCTTTTTAATTATATTTATTTATTTACTTATTTTAAAATTTTTATTTTGGGGGGAGGTTTTTGTTATAGGGCGCGTGTGCTTGCCAGACAGACAGAGACAGACAGAGAGACAGAACGTGAGAAATCACCCCCCAGGGGGGATGGCCACACCGCAATCCCTTCTCCTCCATTCTCCTCTCAGGATCTTGGGCACTCATGCACACGTACCCGGTGTGAGTTTTAAGCCACTGGGTCCAGGACTCAAACCTCAGTTGACTACATGGGAGTCCAGCGACATAGCCATTATGCTAATAGCTGGTCCCTTTAATTATATTTATTAAGTATTCTATATTTTTATGCTATTATATATGGTTTATGGAAATAGATTTTTAAAAAATGTATTCTTTCTTGGGACTAGCAGGTGCTCTGGTGGTTAATGTGCTAGATCCCCATATGGTTGACTACGGTTCGAGTCCTGGACATAGTGGCTTGAAAATCACTCTGGGTGTGTGCATGTATGCCCAAAATCTCCAGAGAAGAATGAAGGGGAAGGAACTGCAGCATAGCCATCCCCTCTAGGGGGGTGATTTCTCACTTTCACTCTTTCTCTGTTGAGTGCATGTGCCCTGTGAGAAAAATTTAAATAACAAAAAAATAAAACCTTTCTTTCAAGAGAGAGAGAGACAGAGGGAGATAAGCACCTTCAAAAGGGTGTCATGCCAGGGCTGGCAGATGGCATGGTTAGTCAAAGCGCAGGACTTGCACCTGGTTGGTTGCCGTTCAAGTCCCAGACCTGGTGGCTTGCTTTCTCACCTTCCCTCTTTTTCTCTCTCTGGTCAGTTTTTTTTTTCTTTTTCTGGAGAGGTTATTTTTTGTTATATGCCGCGTGCACTTGCCAGAAAGAGAGACAGAGAGATAGAAAGCAAGAAATCACCCCCCAGGGGAGATGGCCACGCCGCAATCCCTTCTCCTCCATTCTCCTCTTGGGATCTTGGGCATGCACACACATGCGCCCGGCATGAGTTTAAGCCACCGGGTCCGGGACTCGAACTGCAGTCGGTTACGTGGGAGTCCAGTGACATAGCCATTACGCTAACTGCTGGTCCCTCTCTGGTCAAATTAATAATACATTTTTAAAAAAGAATTATTTAACTTTTAAAAAATGATTTCATTTGACCATAGAGGGACAGAGTGAGAGAAAGAGAGAGAGAGGAAAAATGAGAAAGCAAGCTGCCAGGTCCGGGACCAGAATCACGGTCGGCCATGTGGGAGTCAAGCCCCCCTAACTACCATGCCACCTGCTGGCCCCAAATAAATAATTCTTAAAAAAAAAATAAGAGTGTCATGACATCATTCCCTCCAGCTGTCTAGTCTTCCTACCTTCACGTCAGGATCACTGGCACACACGTGTGACCAGGTCAACCAGGAAAAAGACCCAGATCTTCTATATGGTTTTCAACATTGCAGAGTATTATGCTACCAATGTACTACTATATCTGGGATTAAAAAAAAATTTTTTTTGTATCCAGCAAACTTAAAATTCTTGTTAACTTATAGATTATTAAGTTTTCTTTTCTTTCTCTCTCTGTTTTTTTTTTTTTTAAGAGAGGTTTTTGTTATAGGGCATGTGCACTCACCAGAGATAGACATAAAGAGAGAAATCACCCCTTGGGGGGATGGCCACCCCACAATCACTTCTCCTTCAGTCTCCTCTCGGGATTTTGTGCACACATGCACATGTGCCTGGGATGAGTTCTAAGCTTCTGGGTCTGGGACTTGAACCATGGTCGACTACGTGGGAGTCCAACAACATAACCATTACACCATCTGCTGGTCCTGATTATTGAGTTCTCTATATTTATATTACCTATGAAAAGTTTGTTCTTTTAACATTTTTATATCTAATTTCCTTGCCCCTCTGTGTGGCTGAAAGCACTGTACAGTGTGAAGTACAAGTGACAGGCACCCTTGTTTCTGACCTTGGACATGCTTATTCTGACCTATGTTCACCATACATCACTGTATGAATATCTTTTCCAAGAATTATTTATTTATTTTAAACTTCCTATAGTCATCAGAGAGAGACCATGGGAGAGGGTGAGAAAGCAAGTTGCCAGGTCTGGGACTCAAACCACAGTTGGCAATGTGGGAGTCCAGTGCCCTAACCACCACACCACCTCCTGGCCTATATATATATTATATAATATATATATACACACACATATACATATATATATGTATATATATAGTCGCTATTAGGTTGAAAATGCCTTCTATTCCAAATACATTGCAATTTTATTCTTTTGTCCTTTTCTTCTTGGAGAGATTTTTGCTATAGGGCATGTGTACTCACCAGAGAGAGAGAGAAAGTGAGAAAGCACTCCCCAGGGGGTATAGTCACTCTGTAACCCCTTCTCCTCCATTCTCCCCTCAGGTGCCTGGCAAGTTTCTAGCCATTGGGTCCAGGACTTGAACTGCAGCCAGCCATGTGGAAGTCTAGCACCTTAACCATTACACCACCCGCTGGCCTCTAGTCTCTGTCTCTTAAGAACAGTCCAGGGGCCGACAGGTGGCATGGTGGTTAAGGTGTTGGACTCCCACATAGTCGACCACAGTTTGAGTCCTGAACCTGGGGGAGCTTGTTTTCTCACTTTCCCTCTCTCTCTATCTCTCTTTGGTCAAATAAAAATAGTAATAATGATGATAATGATGATGTTAAATAATTCTTTTTAAAAAAAGAGCCTAGGGATCAGCAGTTGGCGTAATGGCTATGTCGCTGGACTACCATGTAGCCGACTGTGGTTTGAGTCCCGGACCTGGTGGCTTAAACTCATGCGTGTGCATGTGTGCCCAAGATCCTGAGAGGAGAATGGAGAAGAAGGGATTGTGACATGGCCATCCCTCCTGGGAATTATGTACTTTTTTTTTTCCTTTTTTCAGTTTGCTAGAGGGCATGTGCACTTGCCAGAGAGAGAGAGAAAGTGAGAAAAGACCCTCCACCCAGGGGATGGTCACACAATTCCTTCTCCTCCATACTTCTTTTGATATTCTTGGCATACATACACATATGCCTGGCATGTTTTTCAAGCTGCTAGGTATAGGAATCAAACTACACAGTCAGACACGTGAGAGCCAGCCACCTTTTTTTTTTTTCTTTTTGAGGTTTTTCACTATAGGGCGCGTGCACTCACCAGCCAGACAGAGACATAGAGACAGAAAGTGAAAAATCACCCCCCAGGGGGGATGGCCACGCCGCAATCCCTTCTCCTCCATTCTCCTCTTGGGATCTTGGGCATGCACGCACACGTGTCCGGCATGAGTTTTAAGCCACCGGGTCCGGGACGCGAACCGCGGTCGACTACGTGGGAGTCCAGCGACATAGCCATTACACTAACTGCTGGTTCCCAGAGCCAGCCACCTTAACCACCATAATACCAGCTGGCCCAGAGATAGTTTTTGTCTTGTAACTGAAGCACTTCTGTTTATTGTAGTTAATTTCATCATATATTTCTAACACTTTGTTTGCGTGCTATTTGTCCTCACTTTTCTGGTGCTTTTTTTTTTTTTTTAATTTCCAGACAGAAGATATGTGCACTCATCAGAGAGACAGAAACGGACGGGGAAAGGAAAAAGCACTGCTGCAATGAGGCAGTCACATAATGATCTCTCACTTTTCAATCCTGTTGGGACTCTGGGAACACACACACACATGCTGGACATGTCATTTATTTTTATTTTTATTTATTTATTTATTTATTTATTTATTTATTTCGCCGCAATCCCTTCTCCTCCATTCTCCTCTCGGGATCTTGGGCACGCACACACACGTGCCTGGCGTGAGTTTTAAGCCACCGGGTCCGGGACGCGAACCGCGGTCGACTACGTGGGAGTCCAGCGACATAGCCATTACGCTAACTGCTGGTTCCCGTGTCATTTATTTTTTAAACAGAATTGTTTATTTTTACCTTTCATTATTATTTTTTAAAGTTGCTACAGGGCCTTGCACTTACCAGAGAGAGACAGAGAGAATGAGAGGAGGGAAACTGAGAACGCAAGCTGCCAGGCCTGGGACTCAAACCATGGTTGTACATGTGGGAGTACAGCGCCACCACCTGCACCCCACCACTGGGCCAGATTTGAATCGCATGGGTGGCCATATGAGATATGGCTCCCTTAACCACCAGGCCATGGGTCAGTCCCTCCAGTTTTTTTGTTTTGTTTTGTTTTTACTATAGGGCATGGGTACTTGCTGGAGACAGCAAGTGAGAAAGTGAGAAAGCATCCCCCAGGGGGATGGGCATGTTGCAATCCACTCTCCTCTTGGGATTTTGGGCATGCACATGTGCCTGGTGTTTTTCAAGCCACTGAGTCTGGGGGCTTGAACCACACAATTGGCCATGTAGGATTAGCCATGTTAACCACCACACCACCAGCTGGCCCTCAACTTCAGATTTTATGACCCAAACTATCACACATGTACAAACTGAGTAACAAATCTTCAGACAAGGGATGTCTGAAAAGGTTTTCATTCTAACCGTGTGTGTGTGTGTGTGTGTGTGTGTGTGTGTGTGTATGTGCACGCGCATGCAGTGTTTGTGTGGTGTTTTATTTATTTATTTTCATTTATTTTTTTAATTTGGACAGAGAGAGAGAGACAGAGAAAGAGAGAGGGAAAGTGAGAAAGCAAGCCACCAGGTCCGAGACTCTAACTGCAGTCAGCCATGTAGGAGTGTCCAGCACCTTAACCACCACGCCACCTACTGGTCTCGTGTGTGGTGTTAGATAAAGTCTTGTGTTGAGATCCTCCTGCCTCGGCCTCCTGATTAGCTGGGACCACAGGTGTGCTTTGGCAGCTGGGTCTCTGATGACTTTTTTCTTTATTCATGATAGAGCACGTGCATGTGACGGGGGTAGGGGGGTACTCTCCACAGTGCTTGGTAACACCATGATTCCCTTCTTCCAGCCCATTGGATCTTGGCTGGTGTGCCTGCCCGGCATGTTTCAGGCTTTCTGTGCCAGGGATTTAAACTGCAATCACCATGTAGGATCCTATTTTTTTTTTTTTAAAGAATTATCAGTTCGGTTTATTTATTATTATTTGTTAATTTGACCAGAGAGAGAGAGAGAAAGAGAGAGAGAGGGAAAGTGAGAAAGCAAGCCACCAGGTCCAGGACTTGAACTATGGCTAGCCATGTGGGAGTCCCGTGCCTTAACCACCACGCCACTTGCCAGCCCCTTCCTCTCTTCTTTTTTTTTTTTTTTTGAGAGGTTTTTGCTATAGGGCACGTACGCTTGCTAGAAAGACAGAAAGAGAAAGTGAGAAATCACTTCCCGGGGGATGGCCATGCTGCAATCCTCTCTCCTCTGTTCTCCTCTCAGGATCTTGAGCACATACACGCACACATGCACGCACGTGTAACCATTACACCATCTGCTGGTCCTGGGATCCCATTTTTCTTGAGCAGTGCTTTACTGCTGTGCCACTGAGCTAGTGTTCTAATGACTCTCTCTTTTTTTTAAAGACAGTTTTTTGCTATAGGGCACATATCCCGCTCACTGGAGAGACAGAGATGGAAAGCGAGATATCAATCTTGCCACAATCCATTCTCCTCTCACTATTTTGGGCATGCATGCACATGCACCGGTATAAGTTTTAAGTGGCTGGGTCCAGGACTTGAACTGTGGTCAACTACACGGGAGTCTAGCAACGTAACCATTACACCATCTGCTGGTGCCTCTAATGACTTTTTAAAGAAGGCATTCATGGGCCAGCAGGTGTCATAGTAGTTAAGGTGCTAGACTCCCCACAAAGCTGAGCACAGTTCAAGTCCCAGACTTGTTGGCTTGAAACTCACACTGGGGCATGTGTGTGTGTGTGCCCGAAATCCAGACAGGAGAATGGAGAAGGGATTATGGTGTGGCCATTTCCCCTAGGAGGTGATTTCTCACTTTCTCTCTTTCTATTTCTGTCTCTCTGGTGAGCACACGTGCCCTATAGCAAAAGGCTATAAATAAATAAAATAAGTAAATAAAGAAGGCACTCATGGGACCCAGGAATCAGGACAGCTGGAGAAAGGCAAAGGGAATTCTGGAGAGCAAACAGTCCTCAGTGATACAGGCAGGAAGAGAATTGTCCAGAAAAAAAGAATTGGTATACTGGGTTGAGGAAGGATCTGTAATTGGTATATTAGAAAACTAAGTGGGGTTAGCTGGTAGTATGGTATTAAGGAAGCTGGATCTAGAGGGGTCAGCAGGTAAAGTAGTAGTTATAAGGAGCTAAACTCCCATGGCTGACCATGGTTTAAATCCTGGACTTGGTGGCTTGAAAATCATGCTGGGGATGTGTGCACGCATGCTCAGAATCCGAGCAGGAGAACAGATTGTGGTGTGATCATCTCCCCTGGTGGGGGGTGGTGATGTCTCACTTTCCCTCTCACTGTCTCTCTCCACCTCTCTGGAAAGCACATGCGCCCTATGAGAAAAAACTTTAAAAAAAAAAAAAAAGTAGCTGGATCTTAAATAGCCAACTACATGGTTCAAGTCCCAGGTTTGGTGGCTTGAAAACCATCTGGGCACAAGCCTAGCAGATAGCATAACGGCTACATTACTGGACTCCCATGTACGCATGCTCAGAATCCTAGCAGGAGAACAGATTGTGGTGTGATCATCTCCCCTGGTGGGGGGTGGTGATGTCTCACTTTCCCTCTCACTGTCTCTCTCCACCTCTCTGGAAAGCACATGCGCCCTATGAGAAAAAACTTTAAAAAAAAAAAAAAAGTAGCTGGATCTTAAATAGCCAACTACATGGTTCAAGTCCCAGGTTTGGTGGCTTGAAAACCATCTGGGCACAAGCCTAGCAGATAGCATAACAGCCCTACAGAAAAAACCTCTCAAAAAAAAAAAAAAAAGATAAAATAAAACCTTCTGAGCATGTGTGTGTGCCCAAAATCTAGAGAGTAAGGGGAAAAAGGAATTTCAGTGTGGCCATCTCTCGGGGCAGGGGGGAGGGTGCTTTCTTACTTTCCCCTTCTGTTTCTCTTTAGTGAGTACACTTGCCTTATAGCAAATTAAAAAAAAAAAAAAACCTAAATGAATTTTAAAAATCTGGACAATTATTAATAACACCATGAAAGTTTTAAAGTACGAAAAAAGTTATTTAATTATAGCTCAACTTTGGGCTCTGTAGTAAGTAACTTTAATACAATAATATAGACAGTAAACAGTGGATATCGATTTACCTTAAAAACTGGGGATGAAGGAGGGGTGCTGTTGCAAGGAAGCTGAAGCCTCTTCTATTAGAACAGGGCATCAAAAGATAACATCTAGGACTGATAACTCATGCAGGATTAGTATAAGCATTTAAAAAAAATAAATAGCTAAAAGAACTCAAAGTAACTGTTGCAGGTGAACAGTACTAAAGAATGAGGAGTCTGTTTTCTTGTTACAAATTGCATATTTGTTAGTAAGTCTCAAAATAAATATTAAAAAACAAGACACCAATTCTTTTCATCCTTAATGTACTCAATTTTGTGGAGCTCCTGCTAGTGTGTGTATTGGCTTTATGTATGTTTGCCCATAGGGTCCTTTGGGTCTTCCTTTACCATAGGTACAGAGTGTTGCATTATGTAAGTTCAAGGTAGGTGCTGGGCATGGGTGTCCCCTTTCGTCATCATGAATAGCCCATGAAGAGAACCCAGGAAAAGACTGTTCTGAGTTCATGCAGTTCATAGCTTGACTGGGGTGAAAGGGACTGTAAGATCACCTGACACAAAACATGCCCTGTCTTGTAGAGCCTAACTATCGTACCGCTACAGTGACAAGGGGCTTGCACCTTCTGGGGCAGGGGACAGGGGCAGACTCTTCTGTCTCTAATGAGTTCTTCAGGTTAAGTCTAAGGCTCTGACTGACAATCACACTCTCTCTGCCCCATGTCCTTCTAAGTGACACCACTGCTTGTGGGTATACCCAACCATGCCTTGGCTAGATCTAGAAACCCTTTGCCATCACAACCTAATTGGTGTGTGTCTGTACATGGCCAGGCAGTGCAGAGATGTGGGGTGGGCTCTTTCTTTGGTCTAGTCTTGCTTCTCTTAACCTGGCCCCAGATACATTTCTTGGGAAGGACAGGAGTTGGGCTGTGTCTTGGGGAGGAAAAGTGTTGCCTGACACTGCAACCAGCTTGGGGCCCTTGGCCTCAAGGGCAAAAGCTCTGCAGTGACTTCTCCAGACTTACCTTTCTAGAGCTGAGTCCTTGTTTTCTCTGGAGGGGCTGCCAAGCTCATAGGGCATTAGAGCTGAAAGGGGCTTAGAAACAATCTGATCAAGTCTGACCGTTTTATACATGGGGAAACTGAAGCCCTGAGGGGCTGTCACTTCCTGTAGCCTGAGCCGTGTACCACACATTAGGTACACCAGGGCAAGTGGTGAAGAAGCAGATAGGGGTGAGGCTCCTGGCTCATATGTGGCTTAGGGCAGCCTGTGAGGTGAGCCAGGGAGACTGGCTGGGGGGTTCTCGAGGTGCCAAGAGTCAGGACTAATGGGTCTCTGGCTCGTGTGATCTAACCATGTGCCTTTACTTAGTCTCCGGCCTCACTCAACCCCTCTGTTTTGTGCCTTTCTGGCTAATTCTTTCACACTGTAGTCCCAGCCTGGTCCATTTCCCACTCGTATGACTGACTTGGCCTCCGGGCATAGGAGCATCTTGACAGACAGTTTGGGCTCCTGCCACCTCCCTCAGGCCCAGTGCCTATCCTGGTGCCCCCACCCCACTCTGCTGTCTAGCTTAGCCTTCCTCTCTGGGAGTGCTCTTTCGGGGCCGGAACATACAAGTTAGAAGCAGCTGGTGTGTGTCTTCCAGAGCTTTAATGAGGCTAGAGCCACCAGCTCCCTACTTGGGTACTCTCTGCCTTCCTGTACCGCCTCCCTTGGCAACCTTGTGGAGCATCACAGACCTGACACTATGGCAGAGCTCAAGATTTCAGAGAAGTTCTCTGTGGGGATGCAGCTATTCCCTGGGCCCGCTGAATGGAAATAGGCCCCCTTACTCAGCTGAAGAGGGGAGGTTAGTGCGTATGTTAGCTGAGATGCCAGCAACCAAGCTTCTGGAACCCCAGAGAGCAATAGGTGACTCAGGCTCACTCAAGAAAAGCTTCTGGTTTCCCAGGCCAGTCCCTAGCCCAATTTGGCCTTAGCTTGCAAAAGGAGACAAATGATGTGCCTATGGGAAGTGGCAAAGGAGAAAGTTGGGCCTGTCCTCCCGTCTCACTTTGACTGCTTTGGAGCTCCTCCTTCAAACCTGTTATGGTTTCTGGAAAAGCTAGAGAGGGTGGAAGGGCAGCAGGAGCTCCATGGGACAATGCCTGGGTGGGTCCTGAGAAGGAGCTGAGACTTTTGGGTGCTGACTGACCTGCCGCTACAGGCCCTAACAGGGGGGTGGTGGGGGTGGGTGGGTGCTCAGGAAATAGAAGGGAAGCTGTCCTTGAGCATATCACTGTATAGAGAATGGGCCTGGAGCCATGACGCTGTCCAGCTCGATGGAAATGGCCAGCTCTCCCTGGCCCTGATTCCGTAAGGTCTTTAACATCAGCCCAGGGTTCAGGCAGCTGCCAGCCCCTCACTCACAGGCATGTTGATGTGGGCACTCAGCAAGGGTGTGCTCTGGCCTTCTCGCAACACCAGCACCTGTGGAGGTACCCATGGCAGTAGGAGGTATGTACCCTGACCCTCTCCTCTCCAAGGGCAAACCTGCCTTGTCTTTGCTGGCTCTAATGACAGGCCATCAGGGCTCTGTCGAAGGGATGGGGGGACTGGGAAGCCTCTACTGTACAGATAGCCTCCAGCCCCACCCAGAAGTCCCTGAGGCCCTTGTCCATGCTCATCCCTACTGTCCTCCCCAGGGTTCCACGTATCCTCCAAGTAGCACTAGCAGGTCTCCTACCTTGATAATATCCGAGATGCCCTTGTTACTGAGGCTCTCCACAAAGGTTTCCATGGGGTAGCTGAGCCCTGGCACCAGCAAAGGGACCTAAATTTGGGGATAAAGAAACAAAACAATCAGTCTTTCTGCCTGGAAAGTATTTGGCAGATTCCCAGATGTGCTCATGCCTACAACCTCGGCTGTGTGTCAGTGCCCTGCAGAGTGAGCAGGACTGGGTCAAAGAGGACATGGTTCAGTCAGGGACAATGAGTACTCCAGGGCTGCATGGAGCACCCATGTTTAAATCTAGACCTTGTGACTCCTGCCAAGTCCAGGGCTATTTCTTCCACATTCTAGCCTTTTTCACTTTCTAAGCCCCCCAGCTTGAGTTAAAACCTGGGTCTAGGGGAAACTAGGCTCTTGGCTCTGTGAGCGATTCTCTTTGGAGCAGACAGAGCCTCCCATTCTGTTACAGAAGTAGCTGGACTTTGGAACCCCTAGCAGTCCCCAACAGGCATCTGAGAGGTGGAGGTGGGACCTAGGCTCTGGCTGTTTTTCCAGAATTTCCTGTGGCTCCCTGAGACCTCTCACAGGCTGAGAGCAAAGCAGTGGAGGCAGGTGCTGAGTGTTCCCTCCAGAGCCCTAAGTTGCTAGGCCCTAGCCTGGCCTGTGGCTGGAGAGCCACCAATAGCCATCTGACAGTTACCCACCCACTCCCTCACCTTAGCCTGGGAAGGGCTCTGTGGGCATCTAATCAGCCCTGTAATGGCCTTTTTCATTTTTAACTCCATGTGTCAGTAAGGGAGACGGTACCTTGAAGAAGGCTCGGGGCAGGGCATAGAGTGCCTCATTGTACAGGAAGCAGATCAGCAACCCCAGGATAGGTCGGGCTGTTGAGGTATTCTGCAGGTGAAGCGTGAGCTTAAAGGTAGGTCCCAGGCCCTGAACCTGTGGAGGGATAGATGGAGAAAGCCTCTAGGACATTGTGACCTTGGGCTCTGGATACCGTGTCCCCTGGTCCTGCCTGCTTCTTCATTAATACCTTCAAGTCACCCTCCCTCACCTGCCCTAATACTTTGTCTAGCTATACCTCAAAATGCACAAAAACCCAGAAGGCTGGCTGCAGTATGTACAGGGACGTGTAGAGGCCCAGAAAGGGAAAGGGGCTTAAGGATGTCACTCAGCAAGTCGAAGGCAGGACCAGCCTAGAACTACAGGTGTCCTCTACCCATGTCCTCACCACTATTCCCCATCCCAGTCTTCCCAGGGCCTGGCTCCACTTCCACTCTTATCTTGTGGTGGCTTCAATGATTTCATTCATCTCTCTCTTACTCTGAGTAGCTCTGAAGCCTCTTCTGTAGCTACCATCTTTTATTTTTAAGAATTATTTATTGGGGGGCTGGCAGGTGGCATGGTGGTTAAGAGCGCTGGACTCCCACATGGCCAATGGCGGTTCGAGTTCTAGACCTGGTGGCTTGGTTTCTCACTTTCTCTCTCTCTCACTCTGCCCCTTTCTGGTCAAATTAAAATGAATAAATGAATAAATAAATAAACAAATAAAGTTAAAGTAATTCTTAAAAAACAAAAAAAGAATGATTTATTGGGATTAGCAGTGATATAACGGTTATGTTGCTGGACTACCACGTAGTTGACTGTAGTTTAAGTTCCAGACTCTGTGATTTAAAACTCATGCTAGGCATGTGTGCATGTATGCTCAAGATCCTGAGAGGAGAATGGAGAAGGGATTGTGGCATGGCCATCCCTCTGGGGGGTGATTTCTCACTTTCTGTCTGTCTGTCTGGTGAGCACACACGCCTTATAGCAAAAATCTCTCTCTAAAAAATAAAATTATTATTATTATTATTTTTAAATATGCAATAGGGTGTATGTGTAAGAGAGAGACAGAAAGTGAGAAAGCAAGTACCAGGCCTGGGACTTCAATCGTGGTCATTCACGTGGGAATCTAGCACCTTAACCACCACATCACCCACTGGCCCCTCTCCCCATTATCTTTAAGAAAAGAGAAGTTGAAAACCTGGTTGCATCATATGACATACCTCGGGGACCTATTTAGAGCTGGTTGGAGCCCTGGTGACCTTGTAGTCACTTGTATCTCAGGGTATATGGGCTCCTTCTCCTTTCTCCCAGTGTATTCTAGGATGGCTGTAGGGCAGGTCAGGATGGCCCCTTCCCTGTACCAGGCAGTCCTAACAGCTTTCTATCCTGTACCATAGCTACAAGGATCCCCCCTCCCACCCACCCAACCCACCACGGCTCCTGGGAAGAAACATCCCAAAGTGACTGTTCTGTGCTCCTGTCAGTCTGGGCTTGTCTGAGGCACTGCATGGAATAGTAGGGGGCTAAGGAGTGCATCCCACTCTGTGGCCACCCAAGGGAAATAAGCAGCCTGGCAGGGAGAGAGGTGAGAGCAGCTCAGACATGAGACTTTTTCCCAGGGTCTGGAGGAAGGTGAAATGGAGCATAGGGCTTAGCTGGCTTGGAATTGGTTTGGCGGGCTCAACTGTGTGGTGGGGGCTTCCTGACCACTCCAACACCTGCCTCTCTGGCCCTGACTCCCCCACACCTGGGTGCTTACCATGGCATGCAGCTTTAGTGGCTCCCCGGCTGTGGCAGACACTGGGTTCAAGCTGGATTCGAGGGCCTGCACATAGGCACGGCTGGCCCGGAGGCGCAGTAGGTAAAGGTCTACCTGGAAGGCCCGGTGCATGGCTGAAAAGGAAGGACACAAAGGCTGATGCTGGAGCTGGGAAGAGGGGTAGGGGTAGGGGCATCTGTGGTGGGAAGGAGTGCTCCTGTGTGTTGGTGCAGGGAAGGTGGGGGAAGAAGGTGCAGGAGGCAGGGACTGCAGAGGCTGGGAATGTGAGGGGAGTGCCAAGGCCAACAGCCCAGCCTTCTGTTGACTAGATGCAGAGGCCACTCCTCACTTCCTCCTCCTTGCTTCTTCTACGGCTTCGCTGCCCCCGCCATCTCAGTCTCCTTCACTGACTCCTGTTGGGTCCTAAAGGCTGGTGTGCCCAAGTCTTGTCTTTGGTCCTCTTTCCATCCTCCAACTTCCCCTGGATAGTGTATGTCCCACCCTGGGCCCACCTCCTGCTTCTAATGCTGTCTGGGCACTTTGGCCTGAAAGACCCCTCAATTGCTCAAGTTCAATCCTACGGAAACCAGCCTGACTGTCCTATCTCAGTAGCTGCATCCCTGTCTATCAAGTCACCTAGGCTCATCATCATGTCTAAGCATTAGCCCAGACCAGTGAAATCCCAAAACCACCCCCAGAGCCCACTCCCCTATATTGCCTTCTCTGGTGTTGATCTTTTTTTTCATTTCCAGAGGTCACGTGCACTTGTGACAGAGACAAAGACACAGAAGGAGAAGGAGAAAGCACCCTCCCAATGGGGTGTAGTCATGCTGCAATCCCTTCTCCATTTCTCTCCCCTGCTGGGATCTTGTGCACATATGCACATGTACTCAACATGTTTTTTTAAGCTGCTAGGGCTAAGATTTGAACCTGGGTCAACCATGTGGGATTTGGCTCCCTAACCACTAGGCAATGGGCCAGTCCCAAAACTTAGGCTTTTTGAATATTTTATATCTGGTCTTATGGTGATATGCTGATAGCTTATTTATTGCTTCTCTGAAATTTTCTAGGCTATAATAACCTGCTAACCATTTTTATGTCCTTTAACTTATCCTTCCAAGATCCCTGTTTAAAAGACAGGATGATCGGGCCAGCAGGTGGCATGGTGATTAAGGCACTGGACTCCCATATGGCTAACCATGGTTTGAGTCCCAGACCTGGTGACTTGCTTCCTTTCCCTCTTTCTCTCTCTCCCTGTCACTCTCTGGTGAGCGCTTGTGCCCTGTAGCAAATTAAAATAATAATAATAATAAAAAAATTAAATAAATAATTCTTTAAAAAAAGAAAAAAAAAATTACAGGTTGATTTAGCTACTGCTTATCACCTTTGCTAGCTTCCCACTACCATTACAACTCATCCAGACTCCTAGGCTTTGCATTCCAGGCCTTTGGAAGCTGGCTCAGACCTATCTTCCCAGTTTCTCCCCTGGCCACTTGGCTTTCTGGCACTGTACCTGCAGCTATATGGGCCACTTGCTTGCTTGAATTGGGTCAGGGTCCTATGCCTCTACTTAAGCCTCTGCCCTTCCCTACCTGACTCTGTCTGGTAAACTTGTAATCATCTTTGGTGTGAAGTCTACTGTTACCTCTCTCTGAAGTTTGGCTTGTTTCCCAGGCAAAATTCACTACTCCCTCTTGTGTATTCTAAAAGCCCTTTGCAGAATTGCTTCCACCCCTGTCATACAACGTAAGTTGGCCAGGAGGACTGTACTCCTAAGGTGGGGGACTGGGCTAAATTCAAAGACCCTAACACAAGGCCTGGCATAATCAAAGGTACTGAATGAATGAAGGAGGAAAAAATAAACAGAAGAAGAACCTTGATCAAATTTTACTCTTCTCATAAGAATTCCTGCTTCTGGAAGTGATTCCTCTTTCCTCTAAATCCTAAAGGTTCTCCCACTTGCTCCCAGCACCTTCTACCTGGAGGAAATTATTCATAGGCAGGGGGTACCCCCAGGCTGTCCCTGGGCTTGCAGAGGCACAAGACCTGCCCAGCTGGCCATGGTCTCCCACTGCTCAGGATACCTGGTTAGTATCCACCCAGCTCGGTTGTCTGGGAACGGAGGAGGAGGAAGAGGAAAGACCTGGTCCAAGTCTCACCGGTGCCGGCTTCCCGCTCTCGCAGTGTCTGATCCACATAAAGCCGAGTCTTTCGGGGCACGTTGAGCTTCATGGCCTGGGCTGGAGAGGGGCCCCCCTCACCTCCCCCCTCTACAAACACTGCAGTCCGCTTCAGGATCTTGATAATCAGGCCGCCACCTAAGGAAGTGGACAGACAGAAACAGATTTGTACTACCCAGGTCTGTCCTTCATTCCCATTCTTCCTGATGAGACTCAGTTTCTCAAAGGAATGAAGTGTGTCTTAACAGCCTCCCATCGTTAATCCACTCATTCATTTAGCAGGTCTTTGTTGAGTGCTATGGTGTTTCTGGCGTTATGTAGGCACTGAGTACATGTAGGGTGAACGGCGGAGACGCAGCCAGCCCAGGGCCTGGGGGCCAGTTGCGACATGAAATGGGATAAGCTGCCCCTGGTGGGGGCTTGGCTCTAGGCAGGATGTGTGTCTACACACCTTGCCTCCTCACCTCTGTCCACCCACATCTCACACTCCTCTGCTTGCCCCAGAATCTGGCCCTTCACTCTCAACTCCAAAGCCCTTGGCAGGTCTGCTTCCCTCCCTCACCTCGAGTGGTCATGATGAGGGTGTTGTCTTCACGTCCATAGCGGCCAAAGCAGAGGCTGGTCACTGCATCCTGTAAGGAGAAAGCAGAATTTAGTTAGGGAAAAATCTTTTTTTTTATAAAAAGAATTATTGTATTTAACTTTATCTATCTACCTATTTAAATTTGACCAGAGAGGGACAGAGTGAGAAAGTGAGAGAAAAAGAGAAAAAGTGACCCGCTACTTGCGAGTCCAGCGCCCCCAGCCACCATGACACCTGCTGGCCCCCTGGGGAAAAATCTTGAAGAGGAGAGTGTGACAGTGGGGAGTAAGGGTAGGGGAGACCCAGACAGAAGACAGAACAGGTGAGATGTGAGAAGAGGCCTGGGGGCAATGCTGCCTCTGAAACATTTCCTGTATTTCTCTTCTTCTCCCCCCAACCTGACTTCCAGGGCCGTAGTCTGAGACTAAGCCTCACTGGCCCTCACTTTTTGGGTCAGCCTCCTAGCGGGTCTCTCAGCCTAGTCTTTCTCATCTTTCTCCCTATTCTGTCCCTCAAGATATCTCTCTGCTGCCTTGCAAAAATATGAATATGAATATTTCTCTACTGAAACCTCCAGTGGCTTTTGTCTTGCCAGGGCACTTAAGGCTCTCCGCATCTGACTCCATCCACTTTTCTGCTAGTTCTCTCCTCTTTGCTCTGCACCCAAGCCACATACCATCTGCCCTCCAGCATCCCACAGTTCAAGCCAGCTGCTTTCCGATTTTATACTGTGATGCAGGATAATTTACACACACAACTTCACGTGTGATATAGTCTCAGTTTTCTATTCTTTTTAAAAATGTTTTGGGTTGTGATCCACCTTATTGATTTAATGACTCACAAGTTAGTTTGAAAAAATGGTTCAAATTCAAACTACTGGGATTCCTTAATTAGGAATATTTATGCCTCTGAGTCTTTGTTCATGATGTTCCCTGTCTGGAATGCTCTTCCTCAATTCGTCCACTTGATTAACTGCTTTGAGATCTGGCTGAACTGTGAAGTGTCCCGAGAGTTCTATCCCCACTTATATCTTCCCTGCCTCCCTTAGTGATTTGGACCCTCTGTGCTTTTCCAGCTCTTTGTACTGTTTTGATCTGACTAATTTCTCAATCAGTGGTATCCTTGGCTAGCTGTCACCTTAGACTGCAGCTCCCTGAAAACAAGGACTTAGCCATTATCTTAATCCCCCCCAATAAAGTGACTTGTATATATGTAGTGTTCAATACATGTTTTTGAAATGCATCAGCATGAGGTCCGGAGAGGCAGATAAGAAGCTCCAGAGGTGGGACTAGGGA